TGGTGGAACTGCTGCTCTCTTACTGGAATTAGGGCTGATTTTCGAAAGTATTTTCTTCTTCATTGAAAGTTAAGCAAGCAACAGGCGTTAATGGAGGTGTGTGGTAGAGTATTTNAACTTCGTCATAACATATGGGAGTGCGAAAAAAAATATATGCGAGACAATCCACACAGAGATATGTGAAAGTTGAATGTAACATTTTTCATCAATTCTACTTTATTTATTTTATAAATTTTGGATAAATCGCATATGATTTAGTGGAATTGCATGACGTAATTGCTCACAGTAATATGCCTAATTGCCTATGGTAGTATTTCAGTAAGAGATGGTACAATATGCCTTAGTAATTTTGTGTCTTCGATAATTTCAATTCGTACTCAAATTAATGAATACAATTTATAGTTTTTTGTTATATTTTGATGCACTTGCATGCCTTTTTCTTATACGTGAGCAGTAGTCCGTTCGAGAACTTGAGTTGATCTTAATTGGTGAACCAATTCTACTCGAACATAGGATAAAACATCAATTACTTTATTTGATATAGACTATGAATCATTCTTGAGTTTATGTGACTAGATGATCAGAATTATTGAGTTCGTAAGTAAATCTTTTAGGTCAAATGTCTAAGCGATCGAGTGTCTGTCTCCACGACATCTAAACACTAACAAATTATTTGTATTATTTTAAAGATAAAAAAATTATTTTAGTATGTTTTTTCTTTGTATTAAAAAACAATGGTTTTATATTTTTCTTTAGGATAATAATTGTATTAAGCTTGAATGTAAATTTTGAATAATTATGAAATATTGACCAATTCTTACCAAACGATACCAACTGACTTCGGCCGGAATATATAATACTACATCATAAATAATGCTAATAAGTTAATATATTGACCAGAGTCGGTCGAAAAACTGGAGAAATAAAATAAATATAAACTTAAAACAAGATTCTAACCGATGTCGGTCAAAAATTCTAATTATTTTTATAATTTAAATATGATTTATATATTTATTCATGTTTGACCAAAGTTTGACTTCAATACCTGAAATTAATCGCTAAACTGAAAAATATTTTTCAGGTTTAATTATCCGGCCGATTTCGGTTGGAAATTGTCAAGATTATTTAATTTATCTTTTATTATCTACACAAAATTAAAGTTTGACTATATACCGACCGATTTCAGTCGGAATAAATTGTAGTTCCCGGGTTTTGGCGATAATCGACCAAATTTGGACGGTTTAATTATTTTTTTTTTTTTTAAAAAGGAAACATTATTTTGGCCCTTTCCAACCGAATATGGACGGTTTCTTGGACGGTTTACTCTTCGACAGATTTCGATCCGAACTTTTTTTGGGGAATTTTCTAGTAATGAATTAAAAAGGACAAAAAGAGAAGGAACATGGTCTCGTTTAATAATTAAATTTGACTTCGTCAAAATTGCATATTTATTTAGAAGAAAGCGCAGAGTTTTGCCGCTTTTACTATTAGCCAGCAGGGTGCTTCCATCTCCGTCCTCACAAGGATCAAAATAATATAACAGAAAGAATCATAAGTAGTAGAGAGGTAGCTGCTTTAGAAAATTAAAGATAAATAAATATGAAAAATGTAAGAATGAGACAAAAACTTAAGGGAAAAAACGCAAAAGAAGAAAAAAGATGATGGAGATTTGGAGATAGTCATGAGCCGATGCACACTATTTTTAAAAAAAAAAAATTAAAAGGAGTTCAACCAATATTTAGCAGCTTTTTTGTTTCTGAGCAATGGAAATTTTAAGAAAAATGATTTGGGAATTGCTTCACTAATACTTTCTACATTGAGTAATATACACGATAATAAAACGTTTCTATTTCAGAAAAACCATCAAAAAGGAAGATGATTATCGAATTTAATTTTCAGAATTTCATATTCTTTAATTTCTTGAATTTTTTTGTGGCCTTCTGTTTGTTGATTTTCCTTTTGACGTACACTTACAATAATACGTACTGAAACAATGCCGAGAGCAGGCCAACTAGCTACCAAAGCCGGCAATGACATATCACTTACATTCTTGGAGAAAAGACACAGACACAATATTCCTATGAAACTCTGACAACCGAAAGCCATTTGCCCATTTTTTGGACAGTCACTATCTCTATCATATTCTAAATCGTAATAGTTGTCAATTAAAAAGAACGACTAAAGAAAACTTTTTAAACCCTAGCTGAACATAACATTAGCTTCAAAGTTCAATCTCATTGTTATATTTCTCGCTTATTGTTGCTTCATTACAACAATAACAACTATACCCCAATCTCAATCAAGATGCATGCAATCTGTTATATGAACTCTTATCGATCACATTGCTTCATTTAAGCTCATAGCAGTTGAATCGAGCTCTTGCAAGGGACACTATCACTTATGGGACTTCCCTCAAATCTAGCACCAGATGAGGCAAGTCCAGAATGGATGAATAAAGGTGACAACGGGTGGCAGCTCACGGCTGCCACCTTAGTCGGGCTCCAGTGTGTGCCCGGCTTGGTCATCCTCTATGGTGGCATGGTAAAGAAAAAATGGGCAATCAATTCAGCATTCATGGCACTCTATGCCTTTGCTTCTGTTCTCATATGTTGGGTAGGATGGGGCTACGGGATGTCATTTGGTGACAAGCTTGTAGCCTTTTGGGGAAAACCGTATGTTGCCTTGGACGAGAAGTACCTTCTCGGACAAGCATTCTTGGGGTACTTACCCACAGCAAGTATGGTGTTTTTTCAATTCGTTTTCGCGGCGATTACGCCAATCTTGATCGCTGGGGCGCTTCTTGGGAGGATGAATTTTATAGCTTGGATGTTGTTCGTGCCTTTGTGGCATACTTTTTCGTATACTATTGGGGCATTTAGCATTTGGTGTCCAGAAGGGTGGCTGTCCAAGCTAGGAGTGATTGATTTTGCGGGAGGCTATGTTATTCATCTTTCTTCTGGTGTAGCTGGTTTCACTGCGGCTTATTGGGTAAGTAATTAATTTAACGCAAGACCATGGACTTAACTCCCCCTTTCTATCCGTTTTTCAAAAGTTGATGTTCTCATAACTTTCTAGTTTGGTTAATATATGATAAAGTTTTTCATGTTAAAAGCAAATAATCCCAGATGTATTCCGGTAAATATTATAGCTTGGTGCTTGACAAATGGACATAAAATAAGCATAAGACTTAAATTACCAGATAGACACTTGATTTCACTTAAGTTATGGCTGATGTGTTTTGTGTAAAATAACGCTATGATATTGAAACTACCCAAATAAAAAAAAAAGCACAAATACCATCCACTTTGTATCTGAAAAAATTGAAAAAATAATTAAAGAATAATGACATAGACTTTATAAATAGCAGTAGATTTGAAGGGAAAAAAAGTGAGTTTCAGACAGGTTTAATCTATAATCAATTCATACACCTTTCATAATAACAAACAAACAACAAACCCAATGTAATCCGACAAGTAGGGTCTGAAGAGGGTAGTGTGTACGCAGAACTTACTTCTACCTTACGAAGATAGAGAGGCGCACCTTATATAATCATATTATAAAATAGTTCTTTAAACTGGAGTATTAATCTTGAAAGTTTCAACTCTCCCTAGATTATTCAGAATCTTACTTTGAGGTGATCTTTTTATCCTGATCAAGACTTGGAACATTCCATGGCAATACTAATCTTAACAGGTAGGGCCGAGACTGGACAAAGACAGAGAGAGGTTTCCACCAAACAACATTCTGATGATGCTGGCCGGCGCTGGCCTTTTATGGATGGGTTGGACTGGGTTCAATGGTGGAGCACCTTATACAGCTAGCACCGACGCCTCGCTAGCCGTATTGAATACACATGTCTGCACTGCCACCAGCCTCCTTACCTGGCTGGTCCTAGACATGTCTGTCTTTGGCAAACCCTCTGTAATCGGAGCTGTTAACGGCATGATCACTGGCCTTGTTTGCATCACCCCTGGTGCAGGTGTGTTCTCCGTTGCCTTAGATAAGTTTAAATTTTGTACACTGACAGTATATAATGAATATGCGAACCTAGAATATAGAGTAATAACCTGCTATCCGTACACATAACTTAAATCCAAGATAGACTCGAGAGATTTTTTTCTCCATTCCAGATCCAGACTAACCGGTACATTCACCTAATACAGGAGTTGTTCAATGTTGGGCGGCCATCCTGATGGGCTTAACTTCAGGAAGTGTACCGTGGTACACAATGACAGTCCTTCACAAGAAGATCAAGTTCTTAAGGCATGTCGACGATACTTTTGCCGTCTTTCATACCCATGCCCTAGCTGGAATTTTAGGAGGTATTCTCACTGGTTTTTTCGCTGTGCCAAAGCTCTGTCGGCTATTTTACCTTGTACCTGGATGGGAAAGGTATATCGGCCTAGCCTACGGTCTGCAGACAGGCCGGACCTCAGCTGGGCTACGTCAAATGGGAGCTCAACTAGCTGGAATCGGATTCATCGTATGTCTAAATATTGTCATGACAAGCTTGGTCTGCTTGTTCATCAAGTTGATTGTGCCTCTTAGGTTGGAGGAAGAGGTGTTGCAAATTGGAGATTATGCTATCCATGGAGAGGAAGCATATGCAGTCTGGGATGATGAAGAGAAGTATGAGAATACCCAGGTGAATTCTGCATATGATGCTGATGAGTATCCATCAGTTGTTTCAAAGACTATGAGTGAATTCCAAATGGTATGAAAGTGCTCTCTATGGCTAGGTTGCAGTATAGTTTGCTGCTAGCCTGAGCAGAACTTCTGTGTTCTTTCGTCCTAAGATATGTTTGTAAAGAAAGTTTTGCTTTCTGAAAGGTGAAACTCAACAGTAGTTATTATACGGTAGAACTGAAATTGGTGTCTACCCATTATAAATGTTTTTACCCAAGAAACACATTGCACGGACCAATTTGGTCTTCGTACATTTGGTAGCAGGGGAGAAACAGATGAAATAGAGTCAGAAATGAGGAAATTGTCCACAACCATAACATCGTAATCACTTTTGATCAATCATTTAAAAAGACAGATATGACGTACGAATACAATCTTCAAAACATTACAAGTTCTAACAAACAGAAAGGCCTATGTTACACTCCATTCGAATGAAATATTGTCAAATTAAAGAGAAAGCAGAACTTTCACCAAGCATTCACATCTCACTCTCATAAACTACTCAAACAGTTCCCCTGATCTCAAATTATAGTAACTGGAAATTAATTCAACATCTTTTTCAACTACAATTTCACCATGTAAGAGTGTTAATAGCCATCATAAAAATAGGAAAACCTACAATGACATAAGCATAAAAGGAGAAAATAGATTTACTTGCGCTTCTTGGATTTTACAGAGGGCTCCTCAGAAATTTCACCATCATCTTCTGAAGAAAATTCTTCTGGTTCATCAGGGACCTCATTTGGAACATTATGCTTGGTAATGTAGTCCTTCAGTATAGTCATGCTTTGCTCTTTCATAGAGATCAATTGCTCAGAAAGAATCCCTTTACAAACCTCGACAGAGTGTGTTTCTGTTCCAAGGCGGAGTGTGGCTTTCACTTGAGGAGGGGATAATGCTTCTTGCGTTTGAGCATCCATCATCATATCCTATGTTCCTGCATCATTTCAGTCCTCACCTCAATCCAGATTATTTAGTATCACCAATCAAAAGAAGAAAAAATAAGATTATTGTGTGTGCTGTGAAAGTTAATATTCGAGCATACATCCCATATAAACACTCAACAAAGATATATATTCAAGCATGTGCGCATATTGCAAGTGCATGGCTACCTTAGATGAAACACTTAAGCACTGAGTCCATCTAAATGGGGCATTCTTCTTCATTCAAACAAGTTGCATAATATAAATGCAAAATGGCAAACATACCATAAAAAGTTGTTAAAAGGAGTAGAAGGTGTTTCACATTCTGTGTCACTGATGCCAAATCCCTTCTTGTGGTCCAGCCTTCACACACTGGCCCAAACCCGTGGGAGGTGGTTAGGGGTGGCAAAACTAACCGAAACCCATTTGACCCGCCCAAACCCGCACAAATTTTAATGGATTTAGGCTGGCACAGTTTTGAAGATGGAAGATGGGCTATTTTGGGCTAGCCCAAGTTAGCTCATCACAAATCATCAGCCCAAATGGACCCATGATGATGCCCAACCTTGACATATGGAAATGCTCAATCTTAGGGTTCGTTTGGTTCGCAGACAAAGTTATCCTGATAATCCCTTGGATTATTCAATCTTATTACCTTGTTTGGTTCATTGGATTAAAAATAGAATATCCTGTATACAACCCAAAATATGTATTTGGTTTAAAGGTGGACAGTCTCTACCCCAGGGTAGGGGTAAGGTCTGCGTACACACTACCCTCTCCAGACCCCACATGTGGGATTATATTGGGTTGTTGTTGGTTTAAAGGTGGACAGACTTGAATAAAATTGTATTTCCTGTTTTAACCTTGGATGTTTCATTGCTTATACAAACAACATTTTCTTAATAATTCATAATTAAGTTAAGGGGTAAAGAACATGATCAGATTCATAATGGCAAACAATTTACGCGTTCCTAATAATAACTGGGAAAGGATGGAATATTATATCATGTACGTATCATAAGAATCCAGTTAGTAATATTCCTTCTTCAACTTTGAGTTGGATAAAATAATTTCTTTGGAGCTAATGCTTTTTGGCTGCCCTGGATATTCTGAAACATTTACTCATATTACCTGTAAATCATTTTAATATTTTCAGCTGTAATTTTATTTATTGTTTATTAATTACCGAGACATCTTTTCAATAATTAAACCAACAGGTATTTGATAATGACATAAAAGTGAGAGGAATAACTCTTACAACCTAAGAAAAAGTATATTGAAACTTGAACTAAAAGAACTCGTCGAATAATGTATTTAACTAATTGTTGTTGGCAAAAAAGGACGGACACTGGGCTACTTTTGAGGTACCGCAATATAATTCACAACATATTGCCCTCTATAGCATGGAGTAGCGTGAGTATGGACTTGATCCAAATGAACTTTGGGCAGGGTTGGGTATTAGCCCATTCATTTATTCAGCCTACCTTGACTCGCCCAACTTCAGCCCAACTAGCCCATTTGCCACCCCTAGAGGTGGTCTTATATTACAAATGAAGGAAAAGGAAAAAGTAGAAAATATTCCTCCACTATGAAGGATAATTGTTTCTGAAGAGGCCTGAAGGAGCAGGGCTTGGGAAGGTTGAAGGTCCCAGAGGATAATTGTGATACTTAAGTTTACCTTAATGATCTTTTCCCTTCAGTATTAACCATTTCTTCTCATTAGACCACAAATACAAACCAGAAACTCGCCAAACGCGAACCAAAACTTCCCCCTTTCCCTATACAGATAACATTTTCCCTCGACGCTAGCCTAGACTCGTCACATTTCATTGCCAAGAAGGTTAAGAATAAATATCTGACAACTTCAAACAATAATAGTGCACTGGAGTTAATTGTAAACTATGTTATATGAACTCGCGGGCAACTATGTATCCAGCATCAGTATGGATAAGTACACCACCCAATTTTCTCAATTATTAGCCATTTTGCCGTGTATTTTGAAGGGTTAAAACGAAGTATCCATACCCATGTCATATACATGGAAAATCTATTATCGTCATGACTGAGCCTAAAATCAAATTCCACTAAATATTTACTATTTCACAGACATCTACTAATCATTATCCACGTTGCAGAAAACGTATCTCAAAAAATTCCCAGTTCCTAAATTACATCTTAAAAAAAGGAAAGAAGGATAATATCAGTCAAATAAGTTAAAGAAATATGAATTGAGCGATTATAGGTTTCTTGCGTTGAAGCAATTTGTGCTTACAGATTAGACGAAGATTTACCTGATTGAAAGTGGCGTTTGGGAGCTACAGAGGCGGCAGAGGAGAGTGATATGCGGTTAGCCGAGTAGCGGGTTGGGGATTTGGGGGGAATTTACTAAAACAAAAAGTTATTTTTTGTTATGAAATATTATATTATGCATCCGAACTCCTAAAAAAAAAAGTAACTCCTACTGCTTTTCTCTTTCAACCTAGCACTACTTCTTACTATTATTATTGTAACTCTTAAACCTCCATAATCCACTACATGATATTCCCCAATGATCTCAATAATTAATATTATGTTCATGACATCCCCTAATATTACCTCAATATCATTCAATAAATAGAGAGTTCGGACATCACATTATACACACTTGAATACATGAAAAAAATAAAAATCTCTCTATGTATCTTATTTTTTCTTGTTTTATATTGTTACTTTGAGCTAAGTTTTTTAATACGTTATCAGCACGATTTGCTATTTTATCTACACTTCCTACAAAAGATAACAGAATTGTAGAATTAGCTTCGTTGAGGTCTTGACTTTTGTTAGTGTGTTATATAGAGTTCATCCTTCAATAGTTTTCATGTTTTGTGACTATTCTTATACCACACTTATATGGCCATCAAACAGTAAGAATTACCCTCTACTGATCATTCTAACGGTACGAACAAGGTATGCACATTTCTAATAAATAAGTGAGATGAGGTATATATGTTTGACCAAAAAATATAGACTTTTAATTAAACTAATTTATTTTATATAAAAAAGATTAAACCTAATTAATAGTAATATCCCCAGATTTATAACTAGTCAACTCAAAAAAAATCAAATTGTGTTGGCGGAGGATTAAATGCAAGGCACATTCAATGTTTCCAATTCATTAATGATAGACGAATCTCAAATAGAAGAAATAATATTAAATGGCATTAACGTAAATAAGGAAAATAATTCACCCAATATAGAATGAGGTGGATGATTCCTCTCTCTGACATTGACGAATGATAGGCATATACTATAATATTGGAACTATTCTCGAATATGATGGAAAAGTGTGGAATAATATGTAAGCGAATCTTCTCAGAAAGATAGTGTTTGTATCTTTTTTAGAGAGAAAGTCTTCTTCTCAAATAGTATTATTATCAGTAAATGTTACATATTTTTCCCCCTATCTCTCTTTCTATTTATATGGGTCATTCCCCAGTCAACCCTAAAAGTACATACACCAAGAATATTCTCCTGAATATTTTATTACTAAAAACTGGCCGTTAGCACTGCCTTTGATACTCGACCTTGGTCGTTATTGATTACTCGGCTCCTAGCCCCGCTATCTACTAATCGACCTCGGCCATATCGCTTTTCATGATACCGCTCCATGCTAAATTCTACCGAGGTAGATTTTGACCCATACAGTTAGTCCCTCCGCTTATTGAGGTCGACCCTGGGCGACCTTGATGAGCGGACTCTGTTAGTTAGGGTTGAGAAGTTTTATGCGAGCAGGTCGAGTAGTAGCGCTTCGGACGGGAAGGAAACGTGGCCTTCTGTGAGCCACAACCTAGGGTCACATCGTTTCGGAGTGACGTCATATCATCATGCGTCATTATTACGCGTTTTTCCGATACCCTATATCGTTTCCCGCGCTTCTACCATTTCGATTCTTGAGTTGGGCAACGATGGTTTGCTTCCTCGATATTGATGCCCTAACTCTTATAAACGGGGATACTCAATCCTTCGATTCACTCTTTGCATTCTAAAAATCGGATTCTCATATCTTCTTCTTCCTCAATCAGAATCTATGCTTTCTTTGACCTTACTTCATACTCCTGCCTTCACTGATTTCGGTGGTTCTTGCTACTCGACTCTTCTGCGTTTACATCCTCTCTATCCATAAACCAAAATGGTTAATGCATGTTCCAATTCTGGGGGGATATCTGACCCTGTTCCTTTGGTAGTGCGCATGCCTCCCCTATGGCAATGGGGCTGCCATTGTTGCAGAAGATGAAAGCTTTCCTACGGTGGAGGAAATAATTCCCCGTAGCGAGAAGGCTAGAACTGACTTCTCAAAGCTGCTCGAGGATGATCCTGAGGCTGTAGAGTCCAAGATGGACATAGCTGCTCTTGCTAATTTCAGGGCGAAGTTCAAAATTCCAGTCCACACTGATCTAGTCCCGGCTGGATGCGATGTGGTGCAAATTCATCGCCCTGGATATTGCGCTTTCTACACATATCAATTCTATGTGGGCTACTCTTTTCCCATTCTTACATTGGTAGAGGAATTCTGCCCTACTATGACGTCTGCCTGACCCAGCTTTATCCTTATATCTACAAGCTCATCCTCATGCTGATGAAGTACACGGAATTGGCTAGTTGCGGGGTCTCTCTTCGCCACCTGATACATCTCTTCGCGTCGAGTTTCCATAGAGGGACGATGTTGCACCTTCGCCATCGTGGAGGAAAAAGTTTGGTAGTAAAGATGGATAATAAAGCAAATCATCGATTCTGGTTTAATTACTTTTACGCCAAGTCTGATGACGTGGTGGCGAACGCAAATGGATTTCCTGATGCGTGGAATTACGCCCGTAAGTATTTTCACTAAGTGCTCATTTTGCTTGTTTTGGTCATAGTCTAACCGTTCTGTCCTTTTCTCCTTCAGCTGAGACCGAGCCCCCTCATTTGGTCGTGGATATTCACGATTGGGTCAGCCAGATCTTGCCTCACACAGTGAGAATTCGTGGGTGGCCGACCTTTTTCCAAAAGTTTGGGCCCAAGCTTTTAGCGACCGGTGAGTTTGTCCGTCCGTATTCGTATACAGTGACTTTTTACATATGTCGTCCTGACTTTGTGGTCGCGTGTTCGTCATGACTTTGAGAGTTGTCATTCTAATCACTTTTATAGACCGAGGGTCTTCGAAGAGGCAGAAAGCTCCTGCTCTGGCATTCCGTAAGAGGAAGGCCATTTCTGTTCCTGCTGCTGCGGTGAGACCTGCTCGGTCGTCGGCTACTGCGGTGGGTATTTCCACTTCCCCTATGCTTCATCTAGTTGATGAGGAAGATGAGGAAGGATCGTCACCGAATGATGATAATCTGCTTCCCCGCAAGAGGTGATCCGTCAATATTGGCGATAGAGGTGTCCGTGTGGGGAGTTCGGTGATGGAGGGCTTTGTCATCATAGAAACGACGACCATAGATCTCGGAGTTGTATGAGTTGCTGTCCATGATCCCGCCGTTATTGGGGACCAAGGGATATGCGTTACTCCTTGAGGTCGGAACGGGGTTTTGAAGGGTTGTCGGCGTGAGTCCCTGATGCCTTGCAAGAGGGTGAGACATCGACCTCGTTACCAACCGAGGACCCTTCCTCTTGGGTTGATACTAAGGGAAAAAGTGTTGCCGAAGAGGATTATGAGACGGGCTTCGGTTAGGATGATGGGGGAAGGACTTACCCGACTTGAGGTGAGGTTGGAAGGGAGCACGCGGACTATTGCAATCCCTCTGGATCGGGATCTATTAGTTGACACGGAGGACGTGGTCCCTTCTCTTGGTCCACTCTGTTCCGATGTGGAGGGTAAAACCCTCGAGAATCTGAAGGATTCCACTTTTTCGAAGAGCATAGCCGGCCTTGCTCTTAGGGTATGTTTGGTATTGTTTCCATATTCATTTTTCATGTCGATTCTGAGTTTGTTCTTACCCGCTCTCGCTTTCTTTTCAAACCGTGATCTTGGAGATTGAAAGTTCCCGTCGAGAGGAGAGGCGTAAGGCCATCTTCCAAAAGATAGAGTGGAAATATCGCGAATATCGTGATAAGCACAAAGAGCTTTGCCGGCGACTTGGTGGTAGTAGCAACTTTCGAGCCCTTTGAAACGAGCTAAAGGAGAAGGATGACGAATTGATGAAGGTCATTGGAAAATATAGTGAGCTCGAGGGGGCGTTGAAGGACAAAGAGGAGGAGCTCGAGGTGAGTAGGGGGGTCGAGGCCCAATGCACCGACCTTCAAGTCCAGGTGGTCTCGCTGCGTGCCGAGCTGGAGGAGTGTCAACTTCGAGCGGCCGTTTTGAGTGGCGAGGTCGCCAAGAAGGTAACAGGTTTGGAGAAGGCAGAGTCGGCCTAGTTATCAGCTATGCGTAGAGCGGCAGATTTAGAGGACATGATCCGTGTTATCCGTTCTGAATAGGATTGCACCATGGAGACGGCTAGGCTCAAAGAGAAGCGACTTGATGAGCAGATTGGGGAGTTAGAAAAAGAGGTTGCAGACCTTATTGATCGAGTTGTTGCCCTCGAGGCCGAAAAGGCACAGTTACTGGCGCAACCGTCCTCATCCCGTACTACTTTTCCTGATGTTCCTCAGGATCTGTATGAGGAATGGATTCACGCCGAGGCCCAGCTGGATATATTCAGCGATTTGATGGGGACGGGGGCTGTTTCGGAAGCCGACTTAGAGAATGCACATACTAAGGCACGTGAAGCTCGGTTTGCTTGTTGCTATGACCCCACTACACCACAAGCTGGTGATGCTGAGGAAGACGTGGAAGGGATTGAGCAGGATGCCTGGTACGAAGATGAGTATCCCGACGGCGACGGCGATGGTGGAGAGACGGGTGGAAATAGCACTGCTGAGTTAGGTAGCGCGTAGTTGCTTTTCTTTCTTTTGCTTGTAATTCTTGTACATACTTTTGTTGGCATCTGCTTTAGCCTTTGTAAGGAATATATTTGAAGTATGAAATGTCATTTTCGCTGTTTCGTATCTAATTCTTTTCTTTATGTTCGGGCTTGCACATTTTTTTGTTTTGTTTTGTTGTTTTAATCATAAAAATTTGATTTTGGTCATGGATAGGTTTTAGTAGGTGTTAATTCGAACGAGGTCGAATGTAACATGTATTAAGTTGGTTCGAGCGAGATCGAATGTGAGTTGATTCGATCGAGGTCGAATGTGAGTTAATTTCATTCGACCTGGCTCGAATGTGAGTTGATTCGAACGAGGTCGAATGTGAGTTAATTCGAACGAAGTCGAATGTGAGTTAATTCGAACGAGGTCGAATGTAAGTTACTTAATTGTGGCAGGGGGCCGGGTAGATATTGAGGCAATGTTGCTCTGGCAAAAATAGGGCGAACATCATACATTTGTGTTTTGCTCATATACT